TCCAGTTTTATACACAGGGAAGCAGAAGCCAAGAGGCTTGCTCTTCCCTTATCCCCAGAAGTCAGGCTGGGTGTTGAGAGTTGAGCACAGCTGTTATTCGTGGGCACATACTTTTATGTTCCAGCATTCAAGGGGAAACTGAGGTGCCCTGAGACGACGCCTAAATGGGAGAAGAGAATGGGCTCTGTTGCATCATTTTTCTTCTTCCTCTAGCTAGCTGTATTATGACTCTGGGCATGTGTAGGCAAGTGCTTCCTCCTTTGCTTCCCATTTGGAGTGAGTGCTACCTGAGGGCAGGGATGATACCACATTGATCTGTATGCTCTCAACCTAGCGCAGGCAAAGGACGAGAACCCACATAGTATGCATTTGTTCTATGAATGAATAATCCCATTTTTATGCTTGATCCATCATAAAAGTGCAATTAAACTCTTTGGGGGCACTCTATTTCCCAGTTTCATTTTAAAAATCTAATTATCTATGCCACACAGAATTTTTATTAGAAAGTGAAGTCATTAAATAAGCAGACACCAGACTCAGACCCTGAGATAATTGCAAATAGAAACGCATCTGTCTGCTGTGCTCAGCTGGACCTGATAAGCACACTGCTGGGAAACTTGGTTCCCGTCTTCAGCACTTGGGGCAGTAGAGTTCCTAAGGCTTCCTTCCACCTTACCTAAGGAAGGCCAGGTAACAGCGCTCAAACCAGTTCTCACTCTCCTTTTCCTAGACAAGAGCTGCACTGACCGATCAAATCCACATCACCTTTGCCTCTGTAAAGCTCCCTGCCCCCATGCCTGCCTGCCATCAACCATTCGAACTCCGTCTGTCGTATCTCCCGTCTCAATATCTACAACCCAGGGAGACACTTGTGATGTTTTCCGTTCATGTGTTCAAAGATAAAATCCTGGGCTGCCCAATAATTTGGGTTATTTTAATGACAAACCAGCAATCCATTCTTGTGCTAACAAAACCACTTCAAATTTCATCAACGGTTCTTTCTTAACTAATACCTGTCAAAGTCCCCTTCTATTCATTACTTGTAAAAAGAAATCCGCAGCCAGTTGCAAAAAGGCCTTGTTAATGCTGCACTGGGAGAAAAACCCTAATAAATTCTCTGAGTATTTACTATGCGTCTGGGTTACTACAGCACTGACCAATTCTACCCTTACTAAAACTACACTCGTTTTCACCAAACACACTTGTTTTAGGTCACTGACAGACCAGCCAAGGAAATGACAAGACTGTAAGCCATGGCACAAAGAGTTAGCAGGACCTAGTTTTAAATTCTGGCCCTGCCACTTTCTAGCTGAAGTGATTTTACCTCCCTGCCCCCATTTCTTTAAATGCAGAATAGAGACAAGCTAATGTATGCACATATATATTCTCGATTCAAAAACAAGTAAGGGGGCAGCTAAACAGGTCCAGGATTTTTTTTAAGCAAACATTTATTTTACAGAGTTTTCATAGATAAAATGCATTCCTGAAACTCTGGAAGCATGTTTCCATTTCAAAAAGTGTTAGAGACTGGCACTTGTACAGGTGGTGGGGAACATGGCTTGTCTGGTAAGAGATAACCAGAAGATTAAATAGCAATGCTAGGAGTCTGACTGTGGGCAATTTTTAACCTTCCTAGATAATGAATGGATCTCCAAGGGCCAGAATTCATCCAGAAAGCCCTATCCTGGGACTCTAAGAAGACTCAGAGGCCCAGTAACAAGAGAACTCTTTTCTAATCAATAAAACGAAATAACAGCAAGTCTATTGTGAGATTGGCACCATGCCAGACCCTATAAATACGTAAGACCATTTAATCCACAAGAAGACAAGTGCACATATTAGAGTTTTACTGACACTAGAATGGAAGATCAGTGAGGTCAGGTAGACTTCCAGGACCACACAACCAGAACCTACCAACACAGAGCTCAAATTCATGTGTGATTACAACATCCTCTCTCTTTCCAGTCACCATAAGACCCCATCTTGGAATTCCTTAGACAGTATTTTTAACCACGATGAAGTAGGAACCAGAGGCTATTATGAACAAATCAAAACTCACAGAGGCAGGCAGGGCAGGCTCGAGGCAGGCAGGGCAGGCTCCTTGCCATGAGTTCACCAGAACTGAAGGGAGGGCTCTCTTCAGTAATCACCCTAAATAAAGGCTAAATGAGGCCCCTCTAAGACAACAGTAGTAGGATAGCTGTACAGCAGCCACAAAGGCCACGCTATCTAAATCACCTATCCCTTTGTCAAAACACTTCTATTTCTAGGGCTACCTTTTCAACCAGACCACATTGCTTAACAATGACAGTCATGTCTCCATGATCCATGCACTGTATTTGGTACATAAATATAAAGTGTATAAATGAAGGTATGTATTCCATGAACACTCCACAACAGAACTTGAGAAAATGCCACTAGCCAGACAGATTGTGAGTTAAAGTCCTTACTTTTTCAACTTGCCAATACTGGCTCAGGCATCTTTAACCTTACATCTCCCAACATAACTTACAGCATTAAAGGTCTTTCAGCCTTCCAACCATTCAAAACACACCTAATAGGCTAACCTTTCCCATCCTAAAAGAAGAAGCAACACCCAATAGGAAAGATAAAGATGCTGTCAAGTCTATTTAAAGACAGAATACAGTCCATGTGAATGAACTGACATCCTGAGTCAACAGCTGACAGAGAGACTGTTGATGCCCTTGTCGTTTCATGATGCCCTAATACAACAAGCCTGGAGCATTGCTGTACAAAGGGGGGACAGAGAGAATGCAAGGAAGAGTAAAATAACCAGGAAGGAAGGAGCAGCCTCACTGCAGAGTGTCACTGACAGGGGACAGTGGGTGATATGGCTGGGGGTTAGCTCTCTGGGAACTCCTCACTCAGGACTGCCTCTGTGTCCCTGACTCATCCGGTTGCATCTAGGCCCTGGGAGCATAAGCAAAAGCAAACTGAATTTTTCTCAGCTCTGAGTAAAAACAGGAAGTCACAAGTGGCTTCACTCTGCTCTCAACTTGGGTCCCTAGCACTTGGGGTTCAGGATGCCCAAAGGGCATGGAAAGCAGCTTGCATCCCCAGGGTCAGGGCTGGAACCTGTTCTAGTTAACTTCCTGATGCACAGGTCTTCTAGGAGCAGACCAGAGAGCACAGGAGGACAGGAGGCAGGGAGCCTGCCCCCCATATCAGTTCCATGATTTCCCTTCATTGATCAAATCTTCAGGCTGACTGCATGCTCACATCAGCTGCAGCCCATGGGAAACAATTCACTTCCTCTGAGTTTAGTTGCATCATCTGCAAAGTGGAGTGTGGGGGTCGCCCCTCCCCCAGAACATTATACTGAACATAAAAACACCCCAGTGTGCTATCATAAGTGTTTGGCACCCCTAGAAGTGCGCTAGCAACTATGTACCCCACCTGAGATGTTACTGTCCCCTCCCCAAAGCCAAGAGCAAGAAGGAGCAATCATGGTAGGTACATCCCACTGCTTTTCATTCAGTCTTCTTTCCTCACAGGAGCTTGGGGCCTGGAGGAGGTGAATTCTGCCAACCCCCAGCCTGGGCCCAGTGCCCATGTTTATGACTGTTTATTTCAGAGCAAGTAGAAAGAAGAAATTAGAGCCATAAAAGACAGGACAACAGACCAATAAAAACCAGCTCCCAGAAGAGTCAGGGGGAGGAAGAGGCAAAATTGTCACCATAGCAACACAAGACAGTCAGAAACAGGCAGGAAAAACAGCCCTTGGTCTGCCTCCTCTCTTCACTTGAAGTCTTCAAACCCCTCTACCAGCGTTGTGAAATTCAGTCCAACTGGGAACAATCCTAACAGGCTGGTCTTCCCAAGCTGAGGCCTGGCCAGGAACCACCCACCTCTTGTTACTGAGCACAGGTCCTAGCCCTGCATGGTCCTAGCCCAGCTTTCCATGCCCTGGGGACTCAACCCGGTGCAGATAGCCTGGGCCAACCTGGAAGATGAGGTGACTGGTGAGAGTAGGGAAAGTTTCTAACAGGGACACCATGAAGCTTCAGGATCTCTATAACCAGGCACGGAGAAGAAGAAATCATAGCCAGAATACTATCGGTACTGGACCCTTCCTCTCCGATGATGGCTGATAGAATTCTGGGGATCTTCACAGGGATAGAGGGGTTAGGACGGGGTGAGAGCTTTAGCAGATTTAAATAGCCAAGGCTCTAGACCTTGACTCTGGTGACACAGGCCAGGAAGTTTAACAGCTTGGAGAAGGAATCGGGCACAGGCTGGCACATTTTGACAAGAGGTGTTCTTGTCAGTCCCGAGGCTGGCAAGCAAGACAGGTGTGTCTACCAAAAAGCATGGCTTGGCCTGAGACCAATGCCTCGGGAAGTGGGTCAAATTGTTCCCGAAGCTCCAGCTTGGAAACGTCTCCTCCTGCTGGACTCTAGTTAGGAGTTCTGGCTGAGGGGGAGTGAACGCGGCGGAGGCGAGGTCCTAGGCACAGCCGTTTGCCCGCTGGCTAAGCACCTCTGTGGCAGGTGGCAGCAGAGGGGTGCAGGTGTGCAGGGGCCGGCGCGGGATTCATCCACGCCTTGGGGCTGCAGAAAGGTGGGGGGCGGAGGCGGGGCCTTCGCAGGGGAACCCTGAGGGGGAACGTTGGGGGTCTCTGAAAAACAGCTTTGGAGATGAAGGTTCGGGGAGGGGCAGGGGTGGGAATGGTCGAGGGGTGAAGGGAGTCGTCTGGAAAAGGAATAAAATCAGGAGAGAGTCTCGGAGAGAAGGAGCAATGGACGAACAGACCTCTGGCTCGGGAACCAAGAAGAACGGTTCAAGACCGGGTCGAGGAGCTAGCTGCTTCCCTCCCTCGCCCAGGGCTGCAGGGCGTCGCGGGCCAGGCGAGGAGGGCCTCGGTCGCCCCGCTCCACTATGTCCCGCGCCTGGGAGGCCCCCACGCCTCCGCGGAGCCTTTTTCGGCGCCTCCCCGCCCCTGCTCCCTGCCGCGCCCCAGCCGGGTCCACCGCGCTCACCAGAGTCGCTCCTGCTGTCGCTGCCTAGCTCTTGCTCGGCCGCCTGCTCCGCTGCTGAAGAAGCCTCTCCCGCGGCAGCCGCAACCCGAGAGTCGGCTTCCAGCCCCGCCCCGCCCCGCCCTCGCCCCGCCCCACGGCCCGCTCCGCCCTGGCCCGGGAATCCCACCCCGCTGTCACCCGCGGGCCGGGTTCTCTTCGTCTATAGGCACTAGGAGCTGCACCCAAGAGTTAAGCATCTTACCTCCCAGTTCATGGTAACACTGCCCTCCCTCGGCTGGGCCACTTGCCTTGTTATTCACTAGGAGGTCTGAATTCCTCCGTATCTACCTCCCCACTTCAAACAAATAAACAAACAAACAACCCCAAAGACACAATTCCCACAGGCCACTAACATACACCCACACTGACGCTAGTGTCCAAACCAGATCACCTCAAAATCCTAGCCCCTGCTTTCAAGTTACTTTGGATTGTGGACCCTGCTTGTTTTCACAACCTCCCTTAAGGGCCGCAGTTATTGGATGGGTTCCCCTAAAACGCCTTCCCAAATGGTTAGCCCATGAAATGCAGCGTTTCTTCTAAACAGTAAGTCCAAATTTCTCCGAGGTAGAAAGAAAGTAGCTTAAACTGTCATTGTCACAGATGGACTGTTTGAGAACATCTGCCGTGGAGGCTTTGTGCATTAGAGAGAGGGAGATTCCAGAAGCCCGGAAGACAGAGTTGTGTCAAACAGGTTGTGAGTCAGAGACTCTGTGTGTGTGTGTGTGTGTGTGTGTGTGTGTGTGTGTGTGTGTG